CCCTTTTGGCTTCTTGACACTTTTACTTGAAAACTTGACTTTCTGGCTTTACTTCTTCCTATCACTGTGAGAATTCTTTTTTTTTTTTTTTGGTTTTTTGAGACAGGGCTTCTCTGTGTAGTGTTGGAGCCTATCCTGACACTCGCTCTGGAGACCAGGCTCACAGAGATCAGCCTGCCTCTGCTTCCCAAGTGCTGGGATTAAAGGCGTGCGCCACCAATGCCTGGCCACTGTGAGCATTCTTAAGCACAATTATGTTTATGTAGTTTTCCTTCTTTCCATGGGATGACTCATTTGGTCTTATAATTTAAGTGGCTGTTTCATTAGGTACAAGGATCAGAAAGATGCTAAGATGTTAGGATCTAAGATGCTAATTATGTTCTAAATGGACATCTCTCTCTCTTTTCTCCCTTGTCACATGTTTATCCTGTAGTCATTTCAATCCATTACTTTAACCACTGAAAGTTATTTTGGTCTTTAGGTTGTTCCTGCTGTTTATAATTCTCTCTCTCACTCCTGTGGTGTATATGTGTATGTGACATGTATCACTATTCTCCCCCTTGTCAAAACTTGAAACTTCACAGGCATCCTTTTGTCCCCCTTTCCATGTCTCATGTTCAGCCAGTCAGCATGTCGTATCTATCCACTCCTGGTAGTGTCTTCTGAATTCTCACCTTACTACTTCTACGGCTTACATATTAAACCATTTCTAGCACCTTTTACTGAGTCTCTTTCCTTAGCCTTTAGCCTTTAGTTCCTTTGAGTTCTATTATGACTTTCAGCATTGCAGCAGTAGAAGGTCTAGGCATCAATTTTATCACATTATTTTAGTTGCTCAAAAAGCTAGACTTCCTTGTGAAAAAAAATCTTAATTCTTTATTCTAATTTTCAATGCTTTCCTCTGGTTCGAACCACCTGATCAATTATCTTTGTCTCTCACTAGGCACAGAATGATGTTATCTACTTGTTTTCCCTCTCACTAGACACAGAAACATCCTGCCTATTAGCTTTGCCAGCCCACTGATTCTCCTTTGTCCCGAGCTACCTTCTCTACATTTTTCAATTTCACATGGCCTTTGGTGCTCTCCTCAAGTGATTCTTTCTTGAGGCCTTCTCTGACTTCTCCTTTCCAGTGGTGTTTCCATGTGTATGTTTTTGCCTTGGGAACCTTATTCTTAGTATTCCTCACCTTTTCTGAGACCCCCTCCTTGACTTCCTAGGTACCAGCTGAACTCCTCAGTGATGCTCTTAGCTGCAGACATCTGCTGTCTCATATGCTGGCTTCTCTGTCCACCAGCAGCTGGCAGAGCATTTGACTGAGAATGCTCATGATTGACAGTTGTTGAATGGAATGTCTATTGTCGTAAGAACATAGAACAAATACTCAATATTTCATAACTCAACCACTGGCCTGGGGTTTCTACAACTTCTAATGTGGATGTGTGAATGAACCAAGTGGCTACAAAAGCCTGACAGCATTGTTGAGTTCTGTGTTACAGAAATGATGGAACTTTGTCACCCTTCCACTTGGCTTGTTTACACATCTTGTTGAAGTTAGATGTTGAAAAGTGGAGCAGATATGGAAAGAGAGAAGAACTTTTAGCAGGTCAAGGTTTTTTGAGTGTGTGTTTTTTTAAACCAAACAGAAACAATTATCTTGAAATTGAGACAGCACTTGACTTAACCAAGTACCTTGCTGAAGAAGATGAAATCCTAGTGTGGTTTGAAGTCTTGATAAACTTGATAAACAGGAATGTTATTTCTGATGTGAACAACTTTGCCATATACCCATTATTGAAGGTAATTTCATGCTTTGTTCTATGGCTTTTAAATCAACCCTCTTTGCCTCGTTCTATTTTCTGGTCAGCATCTGTGGGACAGGCCTTTCCAAGCAATGTTCTATTCATTCCAGATGTTTGGTGATTTATTTCTTTTTAGCTACATCTGATTATTCTTAGAAGAAAATCTATTAGCCATAGGCCTGGCCTTAGAGATGAGTGAGGGAGAAGCTTGGCAGGATTTTGCATTCTTGGTGAACTGAGGGTGTATCCAAAAGAGAGAGAGAGAGAGGAAGAAACAGATGTGAAGCATGAAAACCCCAGAAGTGATAGGAATTATATATCTTCTTATAGAAAAACAGTATATATTAGGAAGAATTTGCCAAAGAGATTTGTAGGCAAACAAAGAGTTTCTTATCAACCCTGTGTTCATGACTCTAATACTCATGTCTTAAGGAATCAACAATTTCATCCTAGGAAATAATATTCCAGAGAAAATAAGAGGTTCAAAGCCTCTGTTGCTGTTAGGAAGAGAAAGATAGACATTAGCATTTGTGAATGAAACAGCCACAAATTGCCATCATTGAGAGACTAGAAAATCGAAAATTCCCATTGTAGCTCTTCAGTAGGATTTGGAAGGAAGAAGTCAAGAGTAAGATCAGAGTAGATGTTTAGAAGCAACCCTCTGGACAGTCCAGGTCCACAAGCAAACCAGAGACTGATGATTGCAAGAGAGTCTCTAGGTCATTCTGAGGGTGACGTTGTAAACACCTCTGGTTCCATATGCTCCTTTTTTTCTAGTATCCAACGTAATGTTGGGAGCTTAACCGAGTGTAGGGAGTGTGCCTTACAGGTTTCTGGACTCTGATTACTGGTTGGGCCAAATCAGTATAAGCTGACAGTTGTATTGCCTCAGAGAATTTCAGTGTGTTGATGGCATCTAGTTGGTTCTCAGTAGTGTTAATGAATGCTTGACTTTTGTATTTATCAGCTGATACATTTGAGGTTATAGCAAGTGATAGTAATTGCTAACATTTACTAAGCTCTCACTTTGTTCCACTTTTTGTGGTTTTATGTGTGAAGCAACTGAACCTGGAGAAGTTTAAAAATAAATCAGTATATTTAGTAACAAAAATCATTTCTGAAAAAAGTCTGTTGTTTCTCTATTAGTATCTTTCAGATAAATAATAATGTACTTGGAATTCAGTGTTGTGTGCCAGAAATAATGGTAACTTTTCTTTGTGGTTTATAGAAGTATTTGCTAAAGAGAATTAACTCAATATGGAATACTTATTCAGCTATAATTCGAGAAAATGTGGCAGCACTACAAGACAATTATTTAGCTCTGTAAGTATTTTTAAGTGGTCATAATTGAATAATGACTTATCTCAATAGATGGGCTTTTAGATTTGTGAAAGAGAATCTTTTTTAATAACTAAAATCTTAGTAATCTATTACTGAGAGAGTTTGTATGCTATATGAGAATTATAACTCTAGACCTGGTAAACTATGTGTGTCTTCAGACGAAGCAATAGCTTGAGTTCTTAATTGACCTGCGATGCACTTGTGTGGGCACATAGAAGTTTATACTCTATATTTGCAAGAGTTAACTTACTGATTGAAATTTTGAGTGTGTCCTGTTATGGGTTGTGCTTAGGACACCATGACTCTATACCAGTAAATCAAAGTCCATGGGAAAGCCAGCAGGCGAAAAGTTGACTTTCCATTAGGATTTATCTCTGGACACCTCTCAGCTCCCTAGTCTTTGTATTTTCCATGGAAAGCAATCAGACAAGACACATAGGACTTGGTGTAGAAGACAAAGCTTCTTGCAGAGTCACGTGGAGTAATCGTAAGGGATGAAAGTAGACAATGTCAAGAGAGATGATTGTGCTAACCTGCATGTTAGCATACGCTGTGAACAAACCCTTATCTGAGGGGCCATTTCCATGGCCAGTCTGTTTGGATTAGCCCTCAAGGGAAGAGCTAATGATTTGTCTTTGCTCTTTACCAGAAAGCCTCCTGCTGGATAGGGTTTTTTTTCTGGCAGTTCATAAAGTCACAGCTCTACATAGGGCCAGAGACACAACTCTTACTCTACTCTTTTGACTAAAACTTATATGGCAGGGCAGATAAAAGAAACTTATGAAAAATATCTATAAAAATATACCTTTTATCAGAAAAAAACAGCCTTCTTAATGAATAGGCCTCAACAAAGCCCTGTTACCCCCACCTTCTTCCCCTTCATGTGATATCTTAAATCTTTCAGAGAGACAGTTGTGACTCTTTTCTTCCTTTATCTATCACTGAAAAACTGATGTGTTACTAGGGACACAGGCGATGAGGGCTTGGAGCTGGTTATGCAATCGGGTCCATCCTACAGGTCCTTTAGCCTGCTAGTTTCTAACTAATTACCTAATAGTTCTCTGTATTATTATTATTAGCAAGAATTGTGCCATGATGCAAATAGGAAGTAGGTTGACAGTATTACTTATCATTCATTTGTATATTATCATGTTTAATTACTGAAAATGACTGCTCAATGGGAAGTAAGAAACATTTTCATGATGGTTTAGGAAGGAGCTGAAAGGCAGTGTGAGGCTATGGTACCTCTGTTTCGTTTGTGTATGTAATGGTAAAATTCTAGCCTTGGAGGTGGGTGGTAGCCAACAACTATAGCTACAGCTTCTAGAAACATCAAACTTAAATCATTCAGACCAAATGAGAAATCAAAATACACAAAAAATACAATCACTCTTGCTCAGTAGTATCCTGCTGAGGGAGTAGAAATTAGTGCCATAGTCTACAACTAGACTACCATAAAATTGATATGTAAGTCCACAGACAGTGTGGGGAGGGGCAAAACATGTGAATGATCAAGAAGACACAAATGCACTCAACTGTGCAGCACGTGTGTTAACCAGACACAGTCTAGGCTCTCCTAGAGCAGATGAAGTAGTTGACACTTGCAGCATCCTGGGCCAGGGTTTCTCCTCCAGCAACTTCTGGGAGAGGCTGATTTCCACAGAATCCCATCTTGTTGCAGCTAGCCCAAGTTCGGGATGGGTGTGGAGAGGGAGTGAACACATAAACAAATTTCTAAGAGTATCTGTCAGGGGACCTCTGCCCACGCACATCACCAAATCTCTTATCACAACTTAAGGTCAGATGAGATGAGATTGAAGGGTGGGACAAAAGGCCACTGGCATTTGTATTTTCAATCTGGCTTCTTTCCCCTCCCCCACCCCAAATTTGATGGCTTTAGCAAGACACACAACAAAGCATGGGTTCCTTGTGTTCATTGTTATTCAGGGCCCTTCTCTGAACTCATTTTGAACAGTAATGCAGACACTTGCTTAGCTATAAAAATAAACCAAACTCCTCTGTTCCTCTTTGGACATGTACATGGTAATTGACAGGAGGAAGAATCGGATGCTTAGCAAGGGAAAGCAAACTGTACATGGGGAGAAAGGAACTTTTCTTGAATACAGAAAGCATCTTGATTTTCAGCATATTAGATCAGATGTGATAAAGATATTTTTAATCCATAAAGGGATTATTGTAATGGGTGAAAGTAAATTGACAACAGATGTGGAGTGTGTGTGCACACCCATGTAACTGTAGTAATTTATTTCTAATTTCAAAAAAATACTATTTGTTAGGAGCGTTTCTGGTGCCCCCAAAACTCTCTGAAAACATTTTTCTGAATCTTTAATAAAGTTTGTCACAATAAAAGCAGTTTTTTAAAAGAAACTTGATGTTACTAGAGGATATTTTAAAGTTCTCAAAGTTGTGTGAAATGCACATTCTTAGGAGCAGAAAGAAATGAAGGTGGTAATTCAAAGTTAATAGCTTTGCTTTGTCTTTTCCTTCAAGACTATCACTGGAAAAATTTTTTGAAACTGCTTGTTGGTTGGGTCTTGAAGACTGTTTGCAGCTGTCCAAAGAGCTCTTCAGAAAATGGATGGCGGATCCAGAGACTGAGTAAGAGCTACAGTGTTCCTTTGTCCCCGTGGTGTGCTTATAGTTGGGAGTGATCATTTTTGCTTTCACTTGGTTGAGTATCTCAATTCCTTTTCAGACAACCTTCCTGAAAAAAGTTAATCTTTTTTTTTTTTTTTTTTTTTTTTTTTTTTTTTTTTTTTCTTTCAAGGTTTCTCTGTGTAACAGCCCTAGCTGTTCTGGAATGAGAGCTCTGTAGGCCAGGCTGGCCTCCAACTCACAAAGATCTTCCTGCCTCTGCCTCCTGAGTGAAAAAAGGTTATCTAAAATAGGGCTGGGTATAAAAACAGTGTAGGACTCATTCAGCAATGAGTTAAGACCGTGGCCTTTGGCTGCTTATGTGTTATTCTCCTACTAAGCGCTTACAGATCAGCAGGTCTGGTTTCTGCTTGTTTTACATCTTAATAGGTTGTTCTTTAGGGTTGCTTGGTAGTGTTGTATCTATGAAGATATTGGAGCCCCCCTCCCCATCTGAGTTTGCAGTCTCATTAAGACGCTAGTGTTTGGGACTATTGCGTTTCATTCACCACCTCAGATGAACTCTAAGGAATGTGATCAAGAGACCCAAGGCCAAACTACCTTATTGATGTACGTTGTGCTATTATGATTTACTTCTTTGAAAACTCAACTGCTCTGCTAAATGAATGACCTTATCATAATGCTAATGATAGCTCCCTCACTTGCTTCTTTATCTCTCTAACTTTTATGGCGATGGGCATTGGTGGCGCACACCTTTAATCCCAGCACTTGGGAGGCAGAGGCAGGCTGATCTCTGTGAGTTCGAGGCCAGCCTGGTCTCCAGAGCGAGTGCCAGGATAGGCTCCAAAGCTACACAGAGAAACTCTGTCTCAAAAAAACAACAAAAAAAAAAAAGAAAGAAAGAAAACCAAAAAAAAAACAAACAACCTTTATGGCTCAGATATAAAATAATTTTACTAAATTTCTGCTTCTGAATATATGACTACTGGGATGACTGTGTTCCTGAAATACCATGGGAAATGCCCTCTCTTGTTGTGCCTTTCAGAATACCTCATCCAATCCAAAGAGTGGTTTTATGCAATGGCATTGCTTTGGGAAGCGATAAAGAGTGGGACTTTTTGCTAAGATTTTACATCAATACAACTAAGGAAGAGGAAGAGGAAGAGAGAAGGGTCCACCTTATTTATGCACTGAGCTGCAGTAAAGAGCCATGGACACTTAACAGGTGATACAGTCAACTTACCTTGAACATTCTTGCTGGAGAAACTTAATCCGTATCCCAAAACAGAGAAAAAAGGGAAACAAACCTATATGTACATTACTAACTTTCAAAAAAAGCATGAGCTTTTGAAAATTAACCTTTCATGGGATTTTCAAAGCTTGTTTGTGTTTTACACCTGGACTCTTGTAGATTTATGGAGTATGCCATCACCGTGTCTCCATCCCCTTTTAATGAAACAAATATAATAGAAGCTGTGGCAACATCTGAAGTTGGCTGTTATGTTGCAAAGGAATTTCTAATCAACAATTGGCTAGCTGTGATTGAAAGGTAAGCAGAAACCCGAGACCTCAATTTCATTTAGGTCATTAACTATTATATTTTCCTATTTTGATCAGAGAGTATGGTTTGGGTGATTTATTTTTTGTCTGATAATTTCTAACATGTGCAATTTCAAACCCATCCCTTGTTCCCTCCATTTTGATTCTTCCCCTACCCACCCACATTATTCCCTCCCATTTCATGTGTTCTTTTTCTTTATTAATCCACTTGGTGCTGCCAGTATGTGCATGGATGGAGGCCTTCCTGTACAGGGGCAACAAAGCTCCTTCCAGACACCATAGGCTAGCACATAAAAAGCCTAGTGCCAGGTATGGGTTATCTCCTTTCAAAGTTGGTCACTGGGGTCCAACGAACACCCCAAGCCTGATAGGCTATTGCTGTGGCTCATGGTACCCTTGGTCACTGACTATGGAGAAGTTCATCTTTAGTCTGGATATGTCAAGAAAGGTGATGATTTTTTTTCTGTATTTTGTCTCACCACAAACTAGAAAACATAAAAGATCACTACCCTTAATTTTGGCTTTTTGTATGAAAATGGATTCACATATGTCATTATCTACCTCGGTTTCCCCATTATTCCCATCAAAAAGTTTCTCTTAAGAAACCCTAATTTGAGTAAGTCCTATTTTGGGTATGAGCATACACCATCCATTCAGTATGACAGTATCACAAAATTCACCTGAATGCTGCAAATTTTACTAATGTTGGCTAGATTTCTTTCTTTATCTGGATCTGTATTATTGAACTTTTACATTTTTTTACACTTTAGGATTACAGCTGTTTGCTTCCTAGATCTTCTTCTGTTCAGCAAAATATACACTAGCATGTAAAAATCAGAGCGCATTTCCTTGATGGTTGCTGCTTCTAGACTATTACACAGGCATATACTGTACTAATAATTCCTGTATGTACTTAGACACTATTGATTTAGCAGATAAAACATGGATAAGGCCCAAGTACCTGAAAAGTTAGAAGACACCTTTTGCAAAGAAGTTTATTCCCTCAGAATAAATACATATTCAGACTATAAAATTTTTGTTTGTTTTTGAAACAGGGTCTTGTGTAAGCCCAAGTCCTTGAATTCACTATGTGGCTGAAAACTTTCAAGTCTTCAACTTCATGTGTAACTTCCAAAGTGCTAGGATTGCAGCCATGTGACCATATGCCCACCATTCCCAGATGGCTGAACTATATAAATACTGAAGGTCATAGATGTTCGTGAATATCTCATAGGACCAAGTAATGTAAGTTTTAGGCACCTTTAGAACATGAAAAAGGATGAAATTTTTGCATTAGAAAATTTAAAGCTATTAAATGAAAACTCATTTATACCACAGTTCATATAGAAACATAATATTATACTTATATTATGAAAATATTGTTCCTATCTTTTGGCTAAGGTTATCTAACTCTTGTTTATTGTGTTAGCAGACCACATGAATTTTCTATTTACACTTTCTGGAGATCCCTCAGAATTTGGGTATGAGTTATAGTTTCCATTTTAAATCATTAATGATAGTCCTCTTCTTACTTAGTAATCCCCCTACTGGGGAACATAGAAGTTGAATTTTAAGTTAGGATTGCATACATACATCTCCTTTTTGTACATGGTTTCAGAGATCAAGCCTCACCAGCCTGTCTGGCATTCCCTGTTCTCTGCCCCCTTGAACTTGTAAGAAAAGCTCATTGTCCTCAGGCCCACCCTAGGTCTTGCCAATCTGACTTTGCCTCATCTGTGAACCCATTGGTGACCTTGTTCAACTTGCTTAAAGTCCTTAGCTTTTCTTCGATAACTTCCTTCTAACTCTTCTAGTGGCCATTAAAGATGACACCAATGAACTCAACAAACGGAATGAAGAAAAGCCCATGAGACCTCAACACTACACAAAGAATTATAGGCAACTGAGGAAAGATGGGAACAGGAGAGATGGTCCTCTCAGGGAAGAGCATACCAGTTGGTTGTCTAGTGCCAAATGGTCAGCCCTGAAAACATACATTAAAGTAATCTG